AGGGTGGGGTAATCGTTATGACAAAGTATCTATTAATGTAGTAATCCCTAATCCTCTTCTTGATAATTTATTCAGCCTGTTACCACTATGATTTTTAGTATGTAATCATGCAAACTTATGTTAAATGTCCCATCTAAGGATTTGCTAAGGCTAGCTCTTATTGGTTGGTTTTGCTTGGTAGTACAGAAAGTATTGGTCAGGGAAATTTGGCCTTAAAAGAAAAATCACATTAGAAAACTTGAGGTAATATGTCTTACTCAAGGTTGTATGCTTTGTAGGTGTTGCTTATCTTCAGGTGTTTCACTCCTATATGGAGTATTTTATGTTGTTTCTTTAGGATGGTCAAGGTTCTTTCCAAGACTGTTTATGGAAATGAACATTAGGGACTTCTCAAACCTGGGTTTACCTCATCTTTACTCATGTCCCTTTGGCCAAAGCATGTTAAATGGAAATTGCAAGACATTGCATAGGTGTGCAATGGGTACAGTGAAATGTGCCATTTGACAACCATTTTTGAAATATTATAACACAAGAAATATATTCCGTAGATATTTTTTCTCTAAATTGGGTGAAAACTACTGTGCTACATCATACATGCCTTCCCTGGTGTTAAAATATGTAAATGATTGAGGTACAACACAAATTCCAATGCATTCCTAGGATACCTTTGCATTAAAAAAAGCAGTTCCTACATACCAAAGTATATTCAGTAATAAATACTTTTAGTGGAAATGTGATATGTTTTTGCTTTCAAGTATTCAATAATATTTGTGGGAAGATTCATTTTTTCGAATTTAATGTGTACATAAACATAGAAATTAGTTGGTTTAATAATATATATCTGTCAGGAAATGGACTGCATTTGTGTTTCTTGGACACTTTAATGCTCTGCCTGGGTCAAGATACTTCTAACACAGCTTTATGGTTTTGCAGCCCATGTATCATGTTTGCAAGAGAAAATTCTGGACCCCAAATCTCATTTCTAAATTCATTTCTGATTCTTTTCTGAATACGTCATTTGCCTTATATCCCAGCCGTGCTTCTAGAGTCTTCTGTTCATTGTCAGCAGCAAGACAGAATGAATGGATCTCTGGTGAGTTTTTTTTTATTTCTCATTTGTTTTCCATTCCATTATATGAACCTAAATATTTCCAAGAGTAACAAACAATACCAACCACACAGATTCAGCCTCAGGAATGTATTCATAAATCAGAAAAAGATGGCATGTAGATTAGGAGATAAAGATTATTTGTAGGTTTAGCAGATTAAATGGTTATATTCTTTCTAAGTTGAATTCATATTGGCTTCAGAATGTCTAGGTTTCATCTTGTCATAACATGTAGTGATACCTGTTATGTGATGTAGTGCCACTGAGCAGGTTCCATCTCGTGGAAGGTGAAGGGTCAATTGCAACCAGATCTCATTCTCATGAGTAACATTAAACTATCTCAATGAAATTTTCCTGGAATTGCTGAAATAGTGTGGTCATATGCACCTTCGTGTGTTCTTAAGGAATGATTAACCTATATGTACTTAAATTACTGTCCATATATACTTTTTGTACTACTTCATGGTCTTGGTCTTACTTGAAGCTGAGGCTATATTTGTTGCTAAACTTTATGGTCTTTTTACAAAATCTTGTTTGTTTTCTAAAGTATCCTCACAAGATTTCTTTCCTTTATAATCTCCCTCTACTTTTGGTTTTCTATTCACTTGTGTTGGTCATTTTTCTCTTTCTCTCTGTTTGTATCTATCTTTGAATCATTTTTTCTTACTTTTCTCATTCTCTCTTTCCTCCATATGTCTCTCAGTTTTTTCTTTTCTTCAATGATCTATCTGGGAACTAGTTTTTCTTAGTGATCAACTTTATGTTGCTGACATGGCTCTTAAGATTGACATTTTTCATACCCAAAGTATAGGAAAATTGTTGCCTAGAGAGTTCTACAGGATTCCAGAAGCAAAGAAAATTAGAGAAACACAAAAACTTAAACAGATAAACTTAGGGGAAAACAGGGTTCTGAAGCCTCTCTGGCACTTGGTCTCTGGTTGCCAGCAAGCAAGCATTGTTCCTTGAGTTCACACAGGGAAGATTACCATTGATAACATGCAAAACTGAAGTATCTATATTAATATTACAATCTGAGCCACAACATGTTGGGAAAAAACATGTTTTCTTATTCTCCTGAGACAGAATACTGGTGTCAAGAGAAAATGCAGACATGGAGTTCACCTTACCTAGCCTTCAAGGTGAACAGCAGCTCCGTTTCAGATGCTATCTTTCCAACAGTAAGGAAAAGGCCTGAACTCCAGACTCTTAACCATCTCCAGAATTCTCTTTTAACCCTTCTGCGGCCAGCTCTCAGTTCTCTCAGTGCTGTCAGGCTAGAATTCCAACCTCTCAAAACTTTTTCC